ACATGATCCTCTTCATGGTCACACAACGTCTAACAACGGTTAACACCAGCGGCACATTTCACGAGTTTATTGACACGTTAGTTCAATACACAAATCACAGGTGAATCCACTTACAGCATTCGGACAATAGACGTTGACATATTCACAGCTGGCTTTGACAATCAAACAGGATACCATTCACAGCTGGCCTTCTCGATCATTCATTCCTCGCCGATTCAAATCCACGTGCTCTAGTCATTCTCCATTCATCTTCACAGCTTCATTTTCCATCCTTTCTCTCTGGGGCCCAGTCACCAAATGCCCGCCTGATTCTCAATCCCCCAGATCTCCTCATTCACACGTGACACTCTTTCCTGTCGTTTCACCATATCTCCGTGAAACACATGCTCTCAGGGACTTCCCCAGTTATGCCAATCATCCCCTGACATTATCCCTATTTATAACATCATTACATCTTGCTACTTCAAAACTTCAGCGAATATGTGTTTTCTGATGGTCTTAGGTGACTCCTGTGAAAGGACCCAAAGGGGTCACGACCCACAGGGTGAGAATTGCTGAACTAGTTGTTGTCTCGTGCAAGACAGGTAAAGAAGAAGTTGATTGCATATCCTCTTCAGAATGCTGTGAACCAGCCTCAGCAGTTTTTTTTTTCCTAGGTAATTTCACGTTCAGAAGCTTGCCATAATTTCTGAATGGTATCTTCTTCTTCATCTTTCGTTCGCCTGGAATAAGTTGTCTATATCAGCAATTTTGTCTCTTGTATAAATTTCACTGTTGTTAGTTCATTCAGTGGTCCATAGAGTTTACGTTCCACTGTTGTTTTTTCTGGCCAAAAGTTTTGCTTTAATGTGTCAAATTCGGTGCAGTCATGGAGTACATGTTCTACTGTCTAGGGTACCTTTCCACAGGTGCACATGGCTGATAAGCTCATCTTGAATTTTTTGTACATGTGGTTACGTAATCGGTTGTGCCCTGTTCTGATGCGGAAGATAATGACTTGTTCTGGTCTGTCCATAATAAAATAGTCATCTTGAGCTGGGGCTGGTGATTTCCTTAACGATTTAATGATTTTTTTCTTTTAATGGTAAGTGACTTTTACATCCGGCTGCACTTTTATTGCACCTTCCCCTGCCAGTTGATCAGCTTTCTCATTTCCAAGCACTCCACAATGAGATGGTATCCACTGCATTACGACTGTTCGCTGAACGCTGAGTTGTGTCAGCAGTGTTTGCAATTCTGGTAGTTTCCTATACTGGAGTGCTTCAAGTACTGATTTAGCATCTGTAAGCATTACCACATACTGTGAGCCAAGATTGATATTTAGTAGTTTCTCTGTTGCTATCTTGATAGCCTGAGTTTCTGCATCATAGTTATGGCAGTACTTCCCGGTTGGTACGCTGGATTTATCCTAGTACCATCTGGGAATTCTATGTACACTCCAGCACCACCATTTCTAACTGCACTTTCTGCGGACCCATCTGTATAGACTCTGACCCATTGTTCTTGTGGGTATTCTACATCAGTATAACTGAGAGTGGCCATTCTGCGTTGTACACTATCTTGCTCTTTCTAGTCAAATATTCCTTTCACATTTGTCTGGATTTGTACTGTTAGTTTGCATTTTTCTCTCCATGGGGTTAGTTCTGGAATACTTTCTGAATGGTATGATTAGTATGATACTCACTCCGTTGTGAAAGTCAGCACAGAGCATTTTCTGCTATTGAATCACCTGCCACTGACTTTGAACCTAAGTATGCCAGAATTATGAAACTTCACGATCCCTGAGTCACTGCCCTGACTAAAGAAAAAGAAAAAGTCGTGAAACTGAGTCTTTTTGGCCTTTTCTGTACCAAAAGGTTTCATGGCAGATACTAAAAGAGGAAAATAATTGTAATGGAAAGTCAGGGAAATGCTTTTCAAGAGGCTTAAGTGGCCAGTGATAGGCCAGATTTCTGTGATATGCTTATGCTAAATGTAAAAGAAAAGGATTATATATAATACAGTTAGAAGTATTAAGAGGAGAGAGAGAGAGAGACTTGCACACATCATGCAGTTTCTGGTGTGTTGAGAAAGAAGAGTGGTGAATAAACTTGACATGCTGCGTAAGAAACATAATTTTTTTGTTTGTTTTTGTTTTTGTTCAGTTTTTGTACAGTGAATATTGTTGCTGTGATTTTTTAAAATATTTTTTACCTATCGTCATAACAGGTCTTTTGCAGAGCACTGCTCACATTAGTGCCTCTTTTCAACTCAAAATTTTGCCAGGGCTGCGCCATTAGGCTACTTTCTTTTATTTCCAACTGCCAAATTTTTTTTTTTACGTGCTCTGGAATACACACGGGCATCCAATCTTACTACCCAGAGACCAGGTGGAAATTACTAGAAGTCCATGTGAACAAATCCCACCCTTCACAGCGGATTGAACCTGGGACCTCCAACACACAAGACGGACATCATGCCCTGAGACCACTCAATCCCCAGCCACAGGCCTATGTCTTCCACTGATCCATACAGTGAAGTTTCCAGTGGAATGCTTTCTGTGTGGATTCTTGGGCCCCACTAAAAAATAAAACCCACTGCCTCCTGCGATGCCTGTCATAAAAGTCCACCAAGTAGAGGTGTTTCCTTCGAAGTCTGAGTGCATCTGCCTGAGAGGCGAGGAACCAACAGTCTGCTGCACATGAATAAGCCAAATCTATGAAGCTGATGTGCAGGCACAATGCAGGTTTTGAACAAGAAGTCCCAGACGTGACTGAGCAACCAGAACTTTCTGCTGGAGTTTACAGCAGCTAAACATGAAGAAGAAAGAAGACAATAAGGATGCCAGTCATCCAGACCTGGTACCGCTCTGCCGCACATATAGAGTCTGCACACAATAAGCCAAATCTGTCAAACAGATGTGCATTCATAACTGGGACAAGACCAAAGTCCAGAAGTGGAGGAACAGCCAGGGATTTTCTGCCAGAGATTATGGCTGGTGAACTTGATGAAGAGATTTTCCTTTGTTTTCATAGTAATTATGTCTTGTTCTGTTTCAGTCGATTGAACAGCTAGAGAAAGAGATGTTGGATGGGCAGAAGTTGCAAGGTCCTCCAACAGCTTTTGAAGTGAATTATATGTTGAAAGCAAGAGACATGGAAGAAAGGTGAGTAAAACAAGGGAAGTAGAGTTTGTTATCATCGTCTGCATTGTCTATCAGCAGGTTCTTTGCAGGATGTCACTCTCGTCACGGCACGCCTGAAAGTCTCTTTCTCTAGCTGATTCTCCAACCTTATGTGCTTTCATAGTTAATGCAACTTCAAGGTCCAGTGTCCACCGTCACGGAGATCTGCTTCCCCCTCATTTTAGGAATTACACCCTCCGTCACCACACCCTCTGTCACCACACCCTTCGTCACCACACCCTCCGTCACCACTCTCTTTGTCACCACTCCCTCCGTCACCACACCCTCCGTCACCACTCTCTCCGTGCCACCAGGATGTTTAACATGTCCATAAAGCTCAGCTTTCAGGATAGCATGCTGTTTATGAGCCAGTTCTCTCCACTGTTTACTGTGACTAAATCAGAGTCCATGACTCACATTCTTGAGTTGCCACGGGAGTTGAGTTGAGTCACTTGGGACATTCTTATAATCTATCCATCCCCCCTCTTCAGCAGCCAGCACAGAGCTCTAGTTCTGATGGTACCTATAACAAATTGTGTGTCCATCTTACCTTTTCCCTGAGTGTTGAATGTCTACCAGATCTTCCATAAACACACCCCCCACCCCCCCCCCCCCATCCCGCTGCACCATTCTTTGAACAGTGATGGCCTGGTTTGGTCTCCACACTGTCCATTCTTTTCCAAAGGGCGTTGATAACATCAAGTTTGTCACACATTAGTTTGTTATAATAAGAAACGTACAAATTATACAATTAAAAAGAAAACAAAACATATATAATCTACAAATACAGCACAGTAAGTGTTGTTAGTATTTGATAGTACTATATACAGTTAGTTGCATTTCCTCTACAGGAGATTGCAGAACCAGTAGCAGCAATTTTGTGGTTGTTTATGATTTTACTAGGCAAATTTTATGTTCTGTAGTTTGCCATTGCTTCTGAAAAGTTTGCTCTTGATACCATTTTAAAATCAATGCTTTTTTGTCTACTACTACTACTACTACTGATATAGCTACTTTTACTACTATAACTACTTTAAATACTTCTAGAACTACTATTACTGCTGCTACTGCTACTACAGCTTCTGCTACTGCTGCTACTTCAGCTTCTGCTACTGCTGCTTCTACTACTACTACTATGACTAACTCTACTATAACTACTACTGCTGCTACTACTAATACAGCTTCTGCTACTGCTGCTTCTACTACTACTACTATGACTAACTCTACTATAACTACTACTGCTGCTACTACTACTATAATTACTGTGCCTACTATAATTGCCACTACTGTGTAAACACTAAGAATTACAATTTGTTTTTGTTTTGTGCCCTTCCTCAGATTTCCTCTGTTTACAGCAGTGCACAGAATCTGCACTGGAGTGATTCCAGTACAAGAGATGGTCCAATGCCTGAAGAATCACCCGGAACACATGTAGATTTGTGTGTTTAGCTATACCTGGTTGTACTGTACCTCATGAGATTTGATTATGTTACTTGTAGATCTGTCAGGGTAGCTCCTTGGGGATTGCCAGAGCACAGCCAGATCAGAATTTCTTTCATGGGATTTTGGGTTTGGTAGTTTCAGATCAGGATTTTATGGAATATTATGTTTGATGGTTCTAGATCAGGATTGGTTTTCAAAGGATATTTTGTTTGGTAGTCCCAGATTAGGATTTGATTTCATGGAATATTTTGTCTAGTAGTCCCAGATCAGGATTTGATTTCATGGGATATTTTGTCTAGTAGTCCCAGATCAGGATTTGATTTCATGGGATATTTTGTCTAGTAGTCCCAGATCAGGATTTGATTTCATGGAATATTTTGTTTAGTAGTCCCAGATCAGGATTTGATTTCAAAGGAGATTTTGTTTGGTAGTTACAGATAAAATTTGATTTCATGCGATATTTTGTTTGGTGGTCATAAATCGGGATTTGATCTCAAAGGATATTTTGTTTGATGGTTTTAGATCAGGATTTGATTCCAAAGGATATTTTGTTTGATAGTCCCAGATTAGGATTTGATTTCATGGGATCTTATGTTTGGTAATCAGTTTAATAAAAAAATAGTATTGTTTGAATACTGAAGTAAAGGAGATGTTGTTAGATTTTGATAGAGAGAGTACAACTCTAGGGTTACAACTAGATTGAAACATGTTTCTTGGACTGTTTTGTTTGGTAACGAGACCCAGGCATGTTTCATCAGATGTTTGGTAACGAGACCCAGGCATGTTTCATCAGATGTTTGGTAACGAGACCCAGGCATGTTTCATCAGATGTTTGGTAACGAGACCCAGGCATGTTTCATCAGATGTTTGGTAACGAGACCCAGGCATGTTTCATCAGATGTTTGGTAGTCATTTTTTCCAAACAGATTTAAATATGTTTCATAGGATATTTTGTTAGGTTGTTTATTGAACCAGCTTTATTTGAAAGCTATAGAAGTAACAGTATTATTATTAGGTAACTGTTGTGTTCGTAGTTATAACTGGACTGGAACATGTTTTGTTGGATATTTTCTTTGATAAATCAATTTATTGAAACAGTAAAGTTGTACAGCTGCAGAATTGGGCTGTAATTAACAGTTGAGGAGGTGGAGATTGGTCTGTGAAATATAGCTCCAGCATTATACTCAATACATCCAAGGGTGGGGAAAAGGCTCCGTTACTTTAGGTCTTAGTTGAAATAGGTAGGTTATTTTGTTCATAGTTACAACAAGGTCGCAACAAGCTGCATTGATTATTTTGGTTGATAATCAGTTTTTATTGAAACAATAAAGTTTTCAGGTTGAAGGAGTAGGAAATTATTTATTAGGTGTTAGATGTAAAATTAGCTGTTTGAATGTTATGGGGTTCAGCCTGATGAAAGCATCTTTTCTAGGATCTTTTGTTAAATAGTTATTGGATTAAAACAGTTAATTTAAAGAATGACAAAGTAAGACATTTTTAGGTCTTAGCTGAAAGAATAGTAGTGGGGTTAGAACTGCAGACGTGCAACCAGACCAGAACTCAATACGTGGGATATTTTATTTAAGAGTAAATTTACTGCAAGATCCTTTTTGTCTTCAGATAAATGATAGATAGATGGTGGGCTTTACTGTAAAAAAAAAATAATGAAATATGTACATATGGAACTGATTAGCATGTATGAAATAAGAAACTCATTAAAGAATTGAACATCACAAGACAATTGATTCTGTTGGCAGGCATTAAAAATAAAGCACTTTGTTTAAATGAAACTTATCATTTTGTTGTAAGAAAAATATTTTACTATTTGTTAATAAACTAGCAATTCTGTTATAATACTAACCACTAATACTTCAGTATTTAAAAACTGCGTACTGTTTAAGAGATAATTACTTCCAAATGTCAGTATTTTGATATTTGATATTGTTATGCAAAGGTGGCCACAAGGTTAAGACCAGCTAGGAGATAATTGATTTTTTTTCCCCCATACAGAGTCTTGCATCCATTACTATTTTAAGACCCACTAAAGCAGCGGTTCTCAACCTGTGGGTTTCGACCTTTCTTGGGTTGAACGACCCGTTCACAGGTGTTGCCTAAGACCATCAGAAGACACATTAATTGAAGGTGTAAAGTAACAGCGAAAATAATTGTATGGTTGGGGTTTGCCTTGAGGAACTATATTAGAGGGTCGCCGCGTTACGAAGGTTGGGAGCCACTGCACTAAAGGCTGGCTATCTTTGCAGTTTTTGATCTGTCCCAGAATATCAGGTGCTGCAATACTTCACAAAAGTACTGTGTATTTACTAGGTGGTCCTAAATTTATGGCCACTTGGGTATAATTGCAGTGAAAGATTTGAGTTCCTGTAGTAGGTTCTTTAACTATCTTGCAAGTACTTCTGAGCAGAAAATTAACAGCCTTAATCCTTCACCAACAGAGTAGAGCAGGTTACGCTATAGAAATACTTGATTGAACCTTAGAGTCTCCAGTTAATAACCAAATCAGATGGAACAATGCGACTGGAATCTGTTCCTCTTGGGTTGATGTTCGGCTTGCTGAAACTTCATGTAGCAGTGAGAAGATGATGTCACCAGAATAGTGGTTGGCTGAAGTGGGGGGGGGGGGGGGGGGGGGGGGGAACAGTCAGTGAGGCAGCTGATATTCAAATATTTTAGATTTCTTCACATTCCGACAGGTTTTGATTCTAGGACCAAACATATTTAACAATTGATACAACAGCACAGATTGTTTTAACCATTATAATTCTATTTGTATTGGATGTTTCATTCCTACTCATAGCTAATCTATGACCATGAAGATGCGCAAGCTTGAAAGTGAAGGAAGTAGCGTCTTGAACGATATTCAGATCTGTAGATAATGCTATATACACTGGTACACTACTCATTGTTAGCTCTGTAGATTAGAGCTGTACAACATTAGTAGACGATTGTAACTGCTATATGTGAACACTGTTTTTTTCATTTTTAGAGTGCCAGCTTGTATGTTTACATACGTGACTATCACTTTATTCTGTATGCATCAAAACATTAGAAAGGCCGTTTACATGTTTTTGTACTATTAGTAGACTAGCATTGCTAAGATTTGCTAGTATTTGTATGTATTTCAGTAGAATTGATATTTAGTTCTGTAGCTATATTCTTATGGGGTTGGTGGACTACTGATTCTTAGATCTGTAGCTATATTCTTATGGGGTTGGTGGACTACTGATTCTTAGATCTGTAGCTATATTCTTATGGCATTGGTGGACTACTGATTCTTAGATCTGTAGCTATATTCTTATGGGGTTGGTGGACTAATGATTCTTAGATCTGTAGCTATATTCTTATGGGGTTGGTGGACTACTGATTCTTAGATCTGTAGCTATATTCTTATGGCATTGATGGACTACTGATTCTTAGATCTGTGGCTATATTCTAATGGCATTGGTGGACTACTGATTCTTAGATCTGTAGCTATATTCTTATGGGGTTGGTGGACTACTGATTCTTAGATCTGTAGCTATATTCTTATGGGGTTGGTGGACTACTGATTCTTAGATCTGTAGCTATATTCTTATGGCATTGGTGGACTACTGATTCTTAGATCTGTGGCTATATTCTTATGGCATTGGTGGACTACTGATTCTTAGATCTGTAGCTATATTCTTATGGCATTGGTGGACTACTGATTCTTAGATCTGTTGATATATTCTTATGGCATTGGTGGACTACTGATTCTTAGATCTGTGGCTATATTCTTATGGCATTGGTGGACTACTGATTCTTAGATCTGTAGCTATATTCTTATGGCATTGGTGGACTACTGATTCTTAGATCTGTTGATATAAGCTGTATTTAATCAGAAGAATTACTGATACTGAGATCTTGTTTAATTCTTCTTTTTCTGCCTTTTCAACTCCCAAAGGAGCATAGGCCCTCAACCAACTCATGCCAAGTCGTTCTTTCCTTTGGTTTAAATATCTGTATAGAATAAGTTGACAGTGGATACTAAGCTCTTCATGAGCTCTGTGGCATTCATATTCTGCTGGTACATAGATCTGGTTGATTTAACATTAGTAGACCTCATGATCCTCACCGCTGCTACGGAGTTCATGCACTGCGCTGATATTCTTCAGACATGAGCTTGAGTTAGAAGTAGAACGGAGCACTTTTGGGTTATCACCCTTGTGCCGTGATGTTGATCTGTTGTTTAAACAGAAACCGACTTCTTCATTAGCACTGGTGTTATTAGTAAGCTATGGGTGTATGGAGTATTTGAGGCTGTAGGTACCAACATTCACATATCAAGGCTTGCATTCGATGCCTCTTCAAAACCTGATTCTGAAAGGCAGAAAAGGGCTTAATATGATGAAAAAGTGGATTTAGTAAAAGGTAATAGCAGATACTGCCATAATGGTATATGCCTTGTTAGATTTCCATGTATGCTAGACCAGAACATGTGAAGAGAGTGGCCGTGGCATAGCGGCTAGACGCTCATACGGATAGGAAGGTCATGGGTTCGCTCCCTGGCGGAGCCAGATTTTTAAAAAAATGACCTTGCCTCCCAGGTCGACCCAGCCTAGAGTGGGTACCGGGTGCAGTCCCGGGAAGTAAAGGCGGCTGGTGTGATGCTGACCACATCACCCACCTTGTGCCGATTGGTCTATAAAAATATAGGTCTAGCCCTATATGCCCTATACGCCTAAAGGTGTGGAAAAGGCACCTTTACTTTTTTTTTTACAGAACATATGAGATAGGGTGACCAGTTCTTGTTCTCCTCGTCATATTTTTCTTCATCATTTATAATTCCCTGAATATTGTATAGTCTTCATATTTTTGGGTGGGGGCGCCCCTGTTGAAAAAAAAATGCACCATCTGCTGGGGTTGAACCCGAACCACTGTTGTGGCAGACAAACCCCTCTGCCACCATGGCTACATGACATTATTATAATTCACAATTCAACCTGTTCTTCTATC